AGAAGTATAACCTCGATTCCGCCATTAAAATCTCCTCCCCAATTGCTCTCAGCGCCCTGCAAAGCTCATACCCGCCTTCATCCGGGTCGTTCAATTCCCAATTGATTGAACCAGCAGTCAAACCCATGTTGGATTTCTTGCGCCAATCGGGATCATATCTCATGGTGAATGCTTACCCCTTCTTTGCATACTCAGACAACTCGGACAGTATCTCTTTGGACTACGCTCTGTTCAAGAATAACTCCGGCGTGGTGGATTCCGGGAACGGGAAGAAGTACTACAGTCTATTAGAGGCCCAACTCGACGCCGTTTTCGCCGCCATGTCCGCCCTCAATTACGACGACGTGAAGGTGGTGGTAACGGAAACAGGGTGGCCGTCGAAGGGGGACGAGAACGAGATTGGCGCAGGTGAGGAGAATGCGGCGTCGTATAACGGGAACTTGGTGCGCAGAGTTTTGACAGGAAGTGGGACTCCGTTGAGACCACAGGACCCACTCAACGTCTACCTATTCGCTTTGTTCAACGAAAACGAGAAATCGGGGCCCACATCGGAGCGGAATTACGGGTTATTTTACCCGAACGAGCAAAAGGTATATAGCATACCGTTAACCCAATCGGAGCTCCAGAGCGGGGCGTCAACGCCGGTCAGCAGCGGGAACCAGAGTCAGGCTCCGGCCTCCAGCAACGAATCGAAGACGTCGGTGGCGCAGACGTGGTGCGTGGCCAACGGGAAGGCCGGAGAGAAGAAGCTGCAGGAGGCGCTCGATTACGCTTGCGGGAGTGGGCGGGCGGACTGCAGTCCGATCCAACCGGGTGCTTCGTGTTATGACCCGAACACGCTCGAGGCGCACGCTTCGTACGCTTTCAACAGTTATTATCAGAAGAATTCTCGTGGCGCTGGCACGTGCGATTTTGGTGGTTCAGCTTACGTGGTCACGCAAGTCCCTAGTACGTTTCCTCCTTTTCCGGTTTTTAATTAAATTCTTTTTTGGAAAATTGAATTGGTTGTTGATAGCATTATCTGCTCTGTTGAACTTCGGGCAAGGGTATAATTACAATATTCATATGTTACGTATTTATATTAAAAATAATATAATTAGAATATTACAAGATATTATAAATTAAAAAAGAAAAAATCAGATTATTTTAGTATTAAAAATGTAAAAATGTTCAATCACAATCATAATTTTATCAAATTTATCATATAATTATTATTAAATTTTTTAACATTTTTAATATTAGAATATCTTATTTTTCCTCTTTCTTTATAAATTTATATTATAAGATGTTATATAATTATGTTTTTTTACTCAAAATCCATTTATGATATGAATTGTATTTATCTATTTAATAATATATTATATTCATTTGATAATGCTTTATTATTGTAAATTTATAATTCTTAAAGTATTATAATTATAGTATTATTGTATTTATAATATTACTAAGTGAGTTCTTAGATCAAAAGAACTAATTATTTAATAATAATAATTTTTTTTTTACCTCATGCATAAATTTATTTTAGAACGACACTCAATTGATATCATAGCATTGTCATAAATCTTTAATTT